TCTTAAAAAAAAGAGCTGTAAGAAATATTCTTAATTACTCATCCTTTTGATGTTCAAAATATTAGGAAAATCTATATATTACATACCTTTATTTAAGGTATAATGATTGAAAGAAAAAACTAAATCTTGTCAAGGCCTTGAATAAACATTTTTCTTAAATCTATCTTTGCCACAATTATTGGCACCCCTAGAAAGTCTTAAGAGTAAAATGTAAGTATATTTGTAAGTAAGTGTATTTTCATTCATATGTATGTTTTTAAGTTTAGCTGAGCAATTAAAAAACTCTTACATGGTCAGTCATGACTTTCTGATTCACTGGGGAATAGGAACAGGCCAGATTCCCTCAGTCATCCATCACCATGAGAAACACCAGAGAATACAGCAATCATGCACAACAAAAGGTTGTTGAGCTGCACAAATCAGGAACTGGTTACAAGAAGTTGAGAAGGTGGAAATTGGAAATCAGGGCAATAATTAAAAAGCTTAATATAACTGAGATTTTAAGAATCTGCCAGGAGAAGGACTTTGTCTATACTGACCCCACACACAGTGAGGTTTGGGCGGACAAAGAACCTCCAAGAATTACAGATGGGGAATTGTAGAAATTAGTTAGGTCTTGGGGTCAGAATGTCTCCCAAACCACAATGAAACACCACCTATAGAACCACAAGTTATTTGGGGGGTTGCCAAAAGAAAGCCTGTGGTTTTAAGGACTAACAAATTCAAGCACATACAGTTTGCCAAACGTTACTGGGACTTTCAGTGGGACCGTGTTCTGTGGTCCGATGAGACCAAAATAGAAGTTTTTGGCAACAAACACCAGAGGTGAGTTTGGTTTGGACACAAAGATAGCCATGCAGAAACATACTCAGTGACGTGTAATGTATACCTCTTGATACTTTACTCAAATGAGAACCAAATTACAAATAGCCTTTTAAGTGTTTCTGTAATATATCATTTATTTATTCATATATATGATATTTATGCCAGTTACAATTCTTAAACATGTATGAACTGTTCCTGTAGAGTTTATGAACTGAACAGTAACATTACAGTAAAATTACACTACCGCTCTGATTCCATGCTACTCAGTTCTTGTTCTACAGTGTCAGTTCATGAAGCTAACAGCACTTTAGTCAAGTCCTAGTGCAGGTAGGAGGATAACAGCTCAGTATCCTACTAGAAATATTACAGTATCGAGCTCACATTGTGATCTTCATTATGGAAAACACTGTAAGCTGGTGAGCTGCATAGATTGGCGTAATGTTTATTAATGTATAATATACAGATATATAAATAGTTTAATGCCTCTAAAAGCTCCCTTGTAGAAAGTTATTACACAAAAAGGTTACAAATATGCTGGCTAATGTCTGAACATTTGCAATAGATTTTGGCCTTAAAAGTACACTCCTAGCTGAAAGGTTCTATATAGTACCAAAAAAGGTTCTCTGCCTTGTAACAATAGTAGAACCCTCTAAATAGAACCATCTACAGCACATTGTCCATCAATCTGAGGGACGTTTAATAATGCAAAGAATCCTTAAATCATGCAAAGGATTCTTTGAGTGTTCATGGATCTATATAGAACCATTTTCTTGAGTAAAGAACCCCAAAAGAACCATCTTTTTCAAGAGTGTATGTTTCTAATATAGTAATGGCATAGAGGTGCTTGCACGGTGTTGCAAGGCCAAATAGTCCCCAAAGAACACTTATTTTTCAAATTCTAACATTATTTTACCATAATCAGCATTACATATAAAACTCAGAAGACATGTAGGTTCACTAGTGTTTTTAGATGGTGATTTAAAATGGCTGTATTTGTCTTGTAGACATCACAACACCACTATTGTAAAGAAATCAGACCCAGAGGCAAATTTGTTTAGAATTGGGCATTTCACATTAAACCACTTTGAATGAGGTTCTCTACATCTCAGTGACTGAATTAAGCAGAAAACGGGAAAGATGGGTGGAATTCCACTTTAAATTATCTTCTTTTCAATGAAGTTTTAGTTAAAAGCATTACTATTCCTTTCAGGGGGCTAGCATCTGAGCTTGCGGAAGCTTCATGAGAAAATCTGCCATATCTAATACTGGTTTTTTACGTCTCAGCATTTCTGACATGCTCTCTCTCTCATCTCAGCCTGCAGAGAGACCACAAAACCACAGCGTACTCGCTTGTTTCCTATGGACAGGCGCATTTCATCACACAGGGTTCAAACACAGAAAGTTTGTGTTTTGGAAATACTTTGCAACACTGCCCCTCAGCTGCAGGTATGCGCCTACACTGTGAATCACTTTCAAACCGCACAGTGGTGACTTCTAGCGCTTTATTGGCTATAGAACTGGGGGCAGAGACTCTAGGGGGGTTGTGGTGTTATTTTTATATTCATAGTGAAAACTCTGAGGTGAAGAGCTTTCCAACCACTTTGCAACACTATCTACATGCACTTATACATGCATATGCTGCAGTGTCTGCACATGCGTGTGCATCTATTTTCATATGCAATATATTTGCTGCAGCGTCTACTTCTGTAATACATAAATCTACATACATTTGCTCCAGTATCTACGATACATCGCAAAAGTCAGAGACCACTGTTTCGTTTACTTAATTTCTTTGTGAAAATGGCAATTAGTTATGCAGTTTTCTTAACAGATAAGGCTCAAAACTAAATATAATACCAGATTTGTTCAGTATTTAGTGTGTCCACTCTTGGCCTTTATCACTGTATTACCTGTTTTCAAAGGTCTTGGCCTTTATTACTTCATTACCTGTTTTCAGGTTTTCAAAGAAATCTGCAGGGATATTTTCTACACCTCCAAAGTTCAGTTTTAGAAGTTGGTTGCACTTTCTGCTTCTCATGAGCTGAGTAATCCACAATACAAATTTAGACTCATCAGTCCAAAAACCTCCACATCCCTGGTGTCTAGCTTTGGTGTTCTACTGCAAATGTTCTTCTTTTTTTGTGTTTTCTCACTGAGGGCTTTTTAAAAGCTTCACATTCTTGTAGACCCATAGCACTGAGTTCACTTCTCACAGTGGAAAGATGGACAGAAACACCTGTGAAGCAAGAGTGGAGGTTGATTTTCTCCTCTCTCTCAAAGATGAAAGCTTCAAGTGCTGTTTATCTGATGTGGGCAGTTTTGGTGGTCTACCAGGTCTTAACTGGAAACTGAATGAACGAAAGGGCAGTCTCTGACTTTTGCACAGTGCTGTACATTTAGATACATTTGCTACAGTAGGCACATATAGTCATGGCTCCTCATGTAGAGGTCTGATCTCTTGAAGTGTCTACAGTGTCATCTGTTTTTAAAATCAGAGTGACAATATAATCACTATACAGCTGTGATTTCTATTCCCACTCATTCTCACAAATCTTTTTTCATTACTGATTTGTGTGTATAAACCACAGAATTTACATCTATATTATTTTAATTACCCTCTTTGTGGCTGTAATAACAGTTCTGCATTTTTTAGCACTGTGCAGAAGAAGAGTTAAAAGAAGCTATATGTCCACCAACAACATTAACAGCACAAACACAACAACGTGGCACGGATCTGCATATGCGCTCCTGAAAAAACTGGAGCCAGTGGCCGCCGCCACAAAATAAACAAAGAAGTATGTTTCAATTTTATTGTGCTGATATTTGCTCTTCTACATTGTGGTAAAAATGAATTTGTCAGGTTCCCAAAATCTCTTTACACTTATAGTTATTTTGATAGAGACACTTGTATGCAAAAATTTGGGCACCCCTGGTCAAATTGCATGTTTTGTTGATTTTGTAGGTGATGATAAGTTAACACATCCTCCACAGAGAACACACCTCTACACATTTTAATGTGTAGAATACAATATACTGGGGGACAATAGCATAAAATGTGGCTTGTGCAAAAGTTATGGCACATTCTATATTTTATATTTTATGTTTTCCCAAATGTTAAACTTGGCCATGTTTTTGTAGAGGATTGTAGAGCATGTTGACTTTTTTCATGTAGAAAATGAACAAAACATGTAACTTGATCAGAGGTGTTTAAACGTCTGTAAAATACTGTATATTAGTATGTATTTAGGTTGGAAAGCTCATCTGATTCAAACCGCATAGAACTTTATTCTTGTATTCAACATAGAATTGCATTGTAATAGTGTTTTGCATCAGTTTACAAAATGTTTTAGCAACTGGTACAACTGGCCCCTTAGTCTGTCACAACTATTGGGTAAGTAGTAATGTTTACTTTCAGTGGAATTGAAATGTGTTTTGTTGCTGTCCAAAGAAAAACAAGTTTCTCCAAAATAGTAACTTTACAGAAGAGGGCAAAAAAATGTGTTGCTTTCAATGTAAGTTAATGTAAAGAGATCTTACTCCAAGCAATTTTGGAGAACTTATGTCGGTCCCATCAACATGAAATGTTCACATTATATAAACACAACTGCCATGCTTGAATAAATTGAAAAAAGTGGAGATACATGTTTTTCGTTGGACAGCGATGGTATGTTAGTTGCTTGCTTTATTAGGAAATATGTTTATATGGCACTGTAGGTAACAATATGTGTAACAATATAATGTTGTAATGTTATTTTACATGGAGACATGGTATAAGGTGGTAGGCATAACATCTGCTTTGGAGATGGCTTGATTATGCCTCTACATCATAGTCAGCTTCAAGCTGATGGTACTGTGCAGGATGTTTGCTCTCAAATTTCAATGAAGAAATGGAGCTGGAAACAATTAGAGTTTCTGTGAAATGTTGATCAGGAAAAAAATGATCAGCTATTAATTTACAAAGTGATTTTAAGTGCTGTGTTTATTATCTATTCAGCTTTCAGTATCTAAATATCTTGCCTTTGCAATCACTGTCAGATTGTTTTTCACCATTTCTAGCTGCTTTTTAGACTGGGGGAACATTTCCTGATGAAATTGATCAAAACTGCTTACATTTAGATGCACTGAGTTCATTCAGGTTTTATTTCTTTTATAAACGTCTGTGCTGAAGTGGAGTCTTTGTGGTCAGTGGGGCGTAATGGGAGTGTGACCTCACAGAGAGCTTATAAACAGGTGAACAGGGGTTTTGCTCTCTTTTGCGCACTCTAACTCCTCTCTCTCCTATCACCAGCATGTGGCTCCTGCTCTTCTACTTAGTACCAGCTGTACAAGGCAAGTTACCTTTTATCTTTCTGTATTATAAACATGTTATGGTTGTGGTTCATTTTATAAATGCAATGATTTTTTTTTCTTCATTTTAAATGCTTAAGTAATTTAATCTGCTTTATACTGAACTGACCGTCAGTGATGATAAGTGACTCATTAAATATGTATGATAAGGGGAGAGAATCATTATTGTGATAAAAAATGATCAAAATCTTCAAGTCTAGTGGCGAAATATTTGTCTTTGCTGATGCAAGAGTCTAATGGTAGATGATTACTGACTGCCTTTACATTCAAAGAACGACTTTTTGTCGCAACTTTTCAGTTTTACTTTTAAAAAAAGATGTTTTTTCAAGGGTTCTCTAGTAAAGAATACTGAATCGTGAACACTCAAAGAACCCTTTTCATGATAAAATAGTTCTTTGCATGGTGAAGTGATTCTTCAGATCGATGGAGAATGTGCTGTTCATGGTTCTGTCTAGAAGCTTTTTGAGAAAGCACAATATAGCACCAAAAAACTTGGCACTGAACCATAGCAGAACCCTTTTTGGTGCAATAAAAGGTTCTATATAGAACCGTCTACAGCACGTTCTCCATCAATCTGAATCATTTCACCATGCTAACAACCCTTAAATCATGCAAAGGGTTCTTTGAGTGTTTATGGTTCTGTATAGAACCATTTTCTGTACTTAAGAACCTTTGAAGAACCATCTTTTTTAGTTCAACAGCTCATATAATATAATATAGAAGATGACAACAGACAAATAGATATTCTAATTATTAAAATTATGAATTTGATATGTGGGTTACTCTCGATCTGTCCATAAATGTTTGAGTGTCATAATCATCATGCAGATGAAAAATATACATTTATAGTCATATGCAAAAGTTTGGACACCCCTGGTAAAATTACATGTTGTGTTGATTTTTTTAAGTGAAATTAATTTCACACCTCCTCTATTGAGAGCACATATAAATGTGGCATTTTCGGCAAGAAGTAGTGCACAATTTTTTTGATTAACATACTGAAAAAAAAATACACAGTTTTGCAGGCTGCATCTTCTATTTTATTATTTTCCGTATGTGTTAAACTCAGCAAATAAACAGTAATAATGCATTAAAATGTGCAGAAGTGTGGGGATTCACTTATTTTCATTTAGAAAATCAACAAAACATGTAATTCAACCAGGTTGTTCAAACTTAGCGGCTGTAATTTAGCAGATCAGTTTTAGCGCCAAATGGTACAGCAAGACGTTATTGAAAATTATTAATGTTTTTGGCATAATGTTATGTGTCCATAACATTACTAATATTTACTTTTCTTGCTTGTTTATTTTATTTAATAGCAAAAAGGAGTTCATTATTTAACCTTTAGATCTTATAACTTTAGTGTTTCCCTTAGAAACCAAAAGAACAAAATGTTATGTGGTACAAATAAAAAAGAAAAACCTCAATGGCTGTGAATGTGCTTCAGATAAAACGGCAAAATACTAGATATTCTAAAACATTTATACAGTATACAGTTTAATGAAATGAAAAAAAGACAAATGATCTTACTGTGTTGCAGTAATGAGAATTTGGTCATTTCAATTTGAAAATGTTACTAAAAATGCATTTAACAACAACAACAAAAAAATCATTCAGCTTTATTTTGAATTATTCACCCTGAAAGAATCATAAAATTCTTATCATTTTAATTTGGGTCCCAGTGAGTGTCATTTTGGTAAGAACCTGCATGTTTGTATTTTTAAAAAACATACTGCTGTCCAGCTCAAAATGCCTACACATTCCTAAACATGAAGGTTCCTAAATGGTTCTTCATAAGGTTATAGAAATAAAACTAACTAGTACAGAACCTTTACGTTATGTAGAAGTTCTATGAATTTTAATAAGTTTCTCCACTCCTGCATATTTCATTTTCAAAAATGATTTTTGAAGAACTATCAACTGAAAGCTTCTACAGAGACCAAAACGTGCTTCTTCCATAGTTAAAAAAAACTTTTATTTTTTAAAAACCTTTTTTTTTAAAAAATATATATTTCTCTAAAACAGCAACTTTACAGGAGAACGCAAAAGGATTTGACTTCTAATGTACGTTAATATAAAGCGATTTCATTCCAAGCTACTTTGGAGCATTTCTACTGATCCACCCATCAAGACATTTTCATGCAGTATAAAGAACAGATGGCGTATTCATCTTTTTAGGACATGTGCACTGAATTGCAGCATTAATGAAAGTTGTTTTAGATCAGGGGTGTCCGTTCTTATCCGCAGGGGCCGGTGTGGCTGCAGGTTTTCACTCTAACAAAGCAGGAGGTCACCTGATGAAATTTTGAAGACTAAGACCAACTGATTAAACAAGTGGAGGTGTATTTCAGCTTGTTTGGAGAGAAAACCTGCAGCCACTCCGGCCCTTTGCGGATAAGACTGGAAACCTTATAATGAACAACAGCACCAAGTTGTGAACTGTAGCTGTGAATATTTGATGGCATTTAGTGTTACAGCGCATCCAACACATGACTTAACCCCTTAAAATCCCAGGCTTATTACACACTAATGCTTATTGTTCAGTAACTACACAGACTTCAGTGCAAACTGGCTGAGCTGTTCTTAGGTTATAGAAGTATGTATTATGTAGCAAAACCGAAATGTGGATAGACTTTTCAAACCATCATACTTTTCGCTGCTGTTGGAAATGACTCAAAATTACCTGGAAAAATGTCCAGTTATATAAATGTACAGTAGTATGTTAAAAAACAAAAGTATGTTTTTTTTTTCTCTTGTCAAGTTATTATTTTGGAGATATGAGGTTTTGCTCCGACAGCAGCATTTTACCTCTACTATATAAGTATATTTATGTGGAAAGTAGTCTACTTTTTTACTCAGTTCCACTTCAGTCATTCATATTAGGTTGCTGACTCTCCATGTAGGTTTAACTCCTTAAAATCCCAGGCTACATGCTAAGGTTTATTATTCAGTAACTACATGAATTTCAGTGCAAACTGGCTGAGCTATTGTTAGGTTATAGAAACTTTGGGCTGGGCCGGTGGGCCCTGGCCATTTAAGGAGTTAATCTCTCACTTTGACATTAAGTATTACAATCCAACAGTTTTAGACCAAAAATATCCAACACAGGGAAGAATCAATATTAACAAACTTCAGTTTCTATGCTGACGGATGTTGGATGTACTAAGAAATTACACTGCAGTTCTACTTTTATCAGACACTTTTTTACTCCAGCTATTTTTTGATAGGCTTGATAGGAGGACAGCTTTAACGCCCCTTCAAACTCTATCCCTGAAGATCTATTTCAGTCCTATCAACACGTTTGATCTCTAATAAAGGTTTTCTCAGAGAGCAGGTGTAGTAGATTATTGTATAGAGGAAGTTTTCTGTGAGAAACGTTCGTACCGCAATCACAAAGACAAGTACATTAGAAATCAACACTAGTTCCAGTTCTCTGTACAAATCATTTAAACCATATATTTCATTAAAATATTATAAAGACAACATATCAAATGTTGAAACTAAGACATTTTATTGTTTATTGAAAAGTATTCATTTTGAGTTTGATTTCAACAACAGGTTCCAAAAGAGTTAAAAAAGAGGCAACAAAAGGTTGGTAAAGTTGTGTAATGCTGAAAAAACACCTGATGGTTCATTGACAACAGGTCAGTAACATGATTGGGTGTAAAAAGAGCATCTCAGAGAGGCGGAGTCTTTCAGAAGGAAAGATGAGGAGGGGTTCACCACTCTGTAAAAGACTGCACGAGCAAATAGTGCAACAATTCAAGAAAAACGTTTCTCAACGTAAATTAACAAAGAACTTCTGGTTTTCATCATCTACAGTACATAATATCATTAAAAGATTCAGAGAATCTGGAGAAATCTCTGTACGCAAGGGACAAGGCCAAAAACCAATATTTGCTGGCCATGATCTTTGGGCCCTCAGGTGGCAATACATAAAAAACAGACATGATTCTGTGAAGGAAATCACTGCATGATACAAATGCAAGTTAAAGCTCTAAAATGCAAAGAAGAAATCATGTATAAACAGGATCCAGAAACACTGCCACCTTCTCTGGGCCCGAGCTCATTTAAAATGTACTGAGGCGAAGTGGAAAAGTGTCCTGTAATCTGACTAATCATGGACACTGTATCCTCTGGGCTAAAGACCACTCAGCTTCTTATCAGTGTACAGTTCAAAAGCCAGCATTCATGGTGGTACAGGGGTGCATTAGTGCACATGGCATGGGTGACCTGCACATCAGTGAAGGCACCATTAATGCTGAACGATATATACAGATTTTGGCAACGTATGCTGCCATCCAGAAAACGTCTTTTTCAGGAAAGGCTTCAGCAAGACAGTGTCAAACTTGTGTCAAATTTGGCATGTATTACAACAGCATTGCACCGTATTAAAATAGTTCGGGTGCTAAACTGGCCTGTCTGCAGTCCAGACCTGTCACCACTGAAAACATTTGTATGGTTATGAAATTAAAAATATGACAAATGAGCCCCCAAACTGTTGAGCAGCTGAAATCCTATGCTAAGCAAAAATGGGAAAACATTTCACTGTCAAAACTACAGCAATTGGTCTCCTCAGTTCCCAAACGCTTACAGAGTGTTGTTAAAAGAAAAGGTGATGCAGCACAGTGGTAAACATGTCCCTGTCCCAACTTTTTTGGAACGTGTTGTTGGCATCATATTCAAAAGGGGCATATATTTTTCAAAAAACAATAAAATTTCTCAGTTTCAACATTTGATATGTTGTTTTTTGTAGTATTTTCCTTTAAAAAATATGGCTTACATGGTTTGAACATCTTTGCATTCTATTTTTATTGGCATTCTGCAGAACGTCCCAACTTTTTTGGAAAAGGGGTTGTAGCCGAACAATAATGGAAGTCTGTGTTATGCAAAATCCTGACATTAGCCTTGTAAGTCCACTGGAGAACTAAAGAAGAAAACCTCAGACACCAAACATCTCTCGGCTGATAAATTACATTTAGGATGAGGGAAAATTGTGTTGTAAGATTTTTCAGTGAACCATCCTTTAAAAGGTATTTCAGATAAAACCATTAAACAAGTAAAGGTGCTTTGCTTCCAAACAGACTTTTACTGTAGTTTAAAGGTAAACTCACTTACTTGCTAGCGATCAGTGTAATTACAGCATATATTAATGTAGACTTCATTCATTGTGAAGCACATGTGTGCTGTTGAAAGCTGACCAATAGAAATGCTGTAAAAGGACTTGGAGACATATATTTTCATTTTTAATTTCCATTATAAGAATGTTTTTCCTTCTAGTGAAATGTTTTGTGAATGTTAGGTTTTGTTGTGACAGAGAAGATGTTGAACTTTCTAAACACAGTTGTACGCAAATGTTTTGGCCCCCTTGTTAGAAAAAAAAATCCATATGACCATATATTCCATATGTTCATCTGAGAAATTATTTGAGGTGGTTTGTTGGTCGATGATTCTTTTACAGTTTGGATGTTTTGGTTCTTTAGTTCTTTAATGTTTGATACCAACACTACTATAAGATAAGGTGCTACGAAGCGTTCTCTGGAGATGCTATAGAAGAACCACTTTTGTTTGGTTCTCTAAAGAACCATTTTAGTAAATGTGATCATTTGTAAAGAACCCTTGAAATGTATATGGAACGTTTCACTGAATATAAACGGCTCTGTAGGTTTTTCCTAGGTCCGTATATGCAAGCCGAGAACCGTTTAGGAACCTTTTGCTCTTGAGAGTGAATGTGTGAGAAACTATAGAAGAACAGATTGATAACAGTGAAGAGTGAAGATATTACACATGGGATTTTTAAAAGCTTGTGAATGTTTAGCATTATGAAGGAGGACATTAATTGATTTATAATCATGACATAACTGATTACACAATAGGAACTAATATAAATCTCACTGCAGTGGTCGTAAGTGTACGTTTGTGGTTCCAGCACTTTAATAACTTGGTCTTTATTGAGCCGGTCAGCTGTGCTGAAGACCAGCAGGGTAAAGTTATGTTTTATCTGAGGTTTTACCTCCAGTGCAGTCAGAGATTGTTAAAAGGGATAGTTTATTGTGATGTGCTCTTTTCAGATAGCAAAGCTTCTTGTGCAGGATGTTACTTCAGGTCTGTCTATGAAGAATCAGAAAAACTCAAATGTTGAAATAACAAACAGACAGCTGTTAAATTAACTGGTTTACTGTTCTATTACTTAATAACAGGTTAAGCTATTCACATATTGTAGCTATTATTATATTACATATTGAATAACCCCTTAAAATCCCAGGCTTATTACATACTAAGGCTTGTTATTCAGTAATTACAGGGACTGGCAGATATAATATATAAGCTTTGGGCCCTGGCCATGAAAAATATGTGTAATATGTGTTTTCTTTTACTAAGGCAGATTATGAAGAATATTTTGGTGAAAAGTGCAATTTATCTATTAATGATAAAGTGTTAGATTATACGGTAGACTGTACTGATATGCATGTTACATGTCATATGTATATTTACATATAGATGTGTAAACTGTAAACTGCAGTCTATATAATCTGCTAAAGGATTTAAGGAATTAAAGGAAATCTCTTAAGGAGATATGTATATATATATATATATATATATATATATATATATATATATATATATATATATATATTAACATTGGCAAATTTCTTAAGGAGTCTTGGCTGTGATTAATTTCACTCTCTCAAATGTTTCTTTTTCCTTTAGTCAATTTTAATAAAAAAAAAATGATGATAAAGTAAGAAAACACAATAACAAAATACAGATAATATAACAGAAAACTGTACAAATGTTCTGCAGTTGATGTGAGATCAGTGATATCTGCTCTTCAGTGAGGTGTCAAATGGCTGTGCAGAGAACCGTATCAGAGCTGCTTTATGTTTTCTACTGTAGGGTACATTCCTCAGGAACACAGTACAAAATGAATGTGTGCTTTATTTATTTATTTATTTATTTATTTATTTGCTGTAAATTTGGACTACAGTTTTGAGTTTTTCAGCTCTAAAAGAATTTGTAGAATTTCACAAGAACCTTTATGATTTGAAAAGATATTATAAAGAGCATCAAAATAAATCATCTTTATTAATGATCTCAAAGCTTTAGAAAATACAACAAAGCTTAGTGTTCTGCAGATTTATATGTATTTTTTATTATTATAGTGCACACAATTGAACAGTGTACCTACAAAACGGTACAGACAAACAAAGTTCAGTATCTAGTACAGTGTAAAATAAAATGTAAAGCATATTTAACAGCATACAAATGTGTATATATGTATATATATATACACACACATACATTCATACATACATACATATGTGTGTGTGGGTGTGTGTGGGTGTAAAAACTAATAATATGTTCATGTACTTTTGGTGCTTTGATCTCAAGGATAGTAGCTAGGTAACATACATGCGTACATTCCACAGTGTGCAAAAACTGTGAAGACTCCTGGTCATGCTTTAGCAAATAGAATGGAGGATGTGTTAACGTATTAACATATATTCCTTGACCAGGACGTTTTGCACCCAAACGTTTTGCATATGACTATACCAAAAAAAGTATACATTACAGATATTTTGTATATATAATGTGTTATATAGTGCTGCTATATTAAACAATTAAACAAATATATATATATATATATATATATATATATATATATATATATATATATGTATATATATATATATATATGTATGTGTATATATATATATATATAAATATATATATATATATATATATACATACATACATGTATGTATGTATATCTGTAACATGGACTTTTTTGTTTAATGGTAACATCTACTGAAGGGTTGCATTCATAAGGCCACGACACCTACATAAGCCCATATAATGATAACTAACATAAGCCTGTACATAAATGCTTGTTATAAATGTTTGTTGAAATAAGGTTTAAATAATGTTTATTTAGATTTATGTATACTGTCATGAAAGGCTTATATGTATCCTCATGAAAACCACCCTTCAAGTGTTATAATAATAATAATAATAATAATAATAATAATAATAATGAGAAGAAGAAGAAGAAGAAGTTGAGGAATCTGCATCTGAGTGCAATTTGCAGAAACACCCTAATTTGTCATGCATGTCAGTTTTTAAGTTTGAAGTGGTGGTTTAGACATTATGGAGTAAGTTTTCTCACATGCTAATCTAAGTGGCAGATTTGTCTTTTTTAGTTCCATGCGCTCAGGTTTTGGGCAGCGCTGTGGTTTAACTGAAAGTGCTGCGAGGTGGGGTGGAGAGGGGAGCTTGGTGGACATGGTGTTATCTCAAAATCTGCACTGACATGCAGCTCTGTTAGAAGCACAGAGCTGAAAGTAACAGGCAGATAAGATGCAAAGGAGCTTCAGCAGAATCTGTGGTTAACCCGCTCTCAGCTTAGCAGACTCCGTCATATTTTCCATTGACCATATAGGGTTAAATTCAGACACTCGGCTCAGCTGGCAGTGAGAAATGACAGCCTTGGCATTATCAGTGCAGCAAAGGTGGATTAAACTTCATGTAATGATCAATACATAAACATGAAATATCTAAAGGTACCTCCTACAAGGCAGAGCGATTTCTGTCCTGTTGGGTGACGTTTGTTTAGTTAAACGAGTCCACTTTACTAGACTAAAGCTGTTTTATCTGCTGTTAACTACTGGAAGTTCTTTTTTGTTGTTTGTTTGAATCTGTTTAATTTTAATCTTAAATTACCTTTTGTCTCATTTCTTTTGTGTGTTATCTAAACTTCTCCATGTCGATGAATGAATTTGGCCTCTGTGTAACATATTTATACCCCAATGAATAAAGTAGGCAGGATTCCTTGAGGATACCTAACAATTCAGCATGTATCTACATTACTCACTGCAAAAGTCATTGTCTGTTTACAACTGGAGCTGAACTTGTTTGGAATAAGACCCATGTTGTTCACCCATGTTCTTTGTATTAGAATCGGAGCCTCAATCAGGATGAGTGTAACCCAGTCGTAACCCTATTTATTCTAATTAGGATGCAATAGGATTAGGATATTATTATTAATATCACAAAAAAACTGCATCTTCTATTGTTTGTGCTACACTGTAAAACATTCATTATTTGAAGTAGTAAAAAAAATTCAAATGAATTTAAATCAAATAATAAGTTAACAGAACAATAATAGTGTGTGTACATTTGATTAACTTATCATTTGAAGTTTTATTTTTATGCATTCAGGCTTCTCCAAATTATTTTTCACAGTCCGTACATCTGTGTGATTATGTATCCCTTCCCTACAGCGCAGAACCGGATAGCTTTGCGGGGACCGGGCGGCCCATGCCAGGGTCGTTTGGAGGTGCACAATGCTGGCAACTGGGGCTTGGTGTGCTATCATGGTTGGAACAGTAAAAATGGTGAGGTAGTGTGCAGATCTCTGGGCTGTGGCCAACATGTTGAATCTGGCCATAACAAAGACAGCTACAAACATCCTCCAGTACCGACAAAATTTTGGATGGATGAGGTAAAATGCAGCGGAACAGAGAGCAACCTGTGGGACTGCAAGAAACCCAGGGTCACCCATTGCGAAGCGGACAACTACGTAACAGTGAACTGCTCAGGTACGAGTGATGTTTTTATTATTCTGGGAGTGCAAGATAAAAAAACTGCTCTTTCAGGTGAATTAAAACCAGCATACAGGGCAAAGGCAATAATGTGACTAGACAAGGCCCGTGCTCTGGAAAACAGGGTCAAGTTTAAATGCGATGCCACTTTATTCCTCAAATGCTTTTGTCTGTTACATTGAATAACATACTTATTATCTTATATTTACATCTAAGATGGTAATGCGGTGGTTTGAACACCTCCAGTCAAATGATACATTTTGTTGATTTTCTAAGTAAAAATAAGTCAATTCATCCTCTACAGGGAATAAACTTAAAAATAAAAATTGTTACATTTAACAAATAATTCATTCAACATTATGTGCAGATGTTTGTTCTCTGTAGAGGATGTATTAACTTATTTTCACTTACACAATCAACGCTATTTTTATGTAATGTGGTTTGACCTGGGGTGCCCAAACTATTGCATATGACTGTGATAGAAGTGGACATTATACAAGGTATGCTGTACATCAAAGGTTTAGGGACATCTACCTTTAAAATGTTTTGTAATGCAAAAATTCTTTGGTCATTTTTCAATAATGTAGCATATTAAATACAAATCTATTTAGATCTCAGCCTTTTTTGGCTTCAACTGAAGAGGAAATTTGAGATTAATGCCAAACTCCATGCATTTGATCTCCTTATAATGATGTCAGCACTAGTCAGCCATCAAACGTTTCATCTGATTTAGGTGAACCTTAACTTCATAACAAGGAAGACACTTTGATGAAGACAAAGCTGAGTGGTGAAGCTAAAGGAACCCAACATATTAACAAATAGCGAAGCATTTACAGGGATGGGGAAGGTGTTTTAAGTTGGGGAGCACTGACATGGCTGATATGTATTAAATTAATAATAAGCCTTTGATGTTGTTATCATTGTAAATCAGTGGCATTACTGCAGGAAATATAGAGGAAAGATAAGTTTGACACAATTTGACATGTTTTGACAATCTGAATGCATATAGACGTAATAAATGGTTAAGTTTTTTTCACTCTAGGGTCTGTGAAGCTGAGTTTGAACATGAATGGAAAAATGGATGAGTGCGCTGGGGTCGTCCAGTTCAAAACACCAGAAGGCAAGGTTAGCGTGTGCAACGATAAATGGAGTGAGTTAAGCATCCCTCTAATATCACATAATATCTACAGTTACACACAGTCAAGTTATGTGTTTTGTTGGTAAGTTAACATTCTGTATATAACGTAACTTGACCAGGGCATCCAAGTTTTGCATATGATTGTGTGTGTGCGCGTGTGTGTGTGTGTGTGTGTGTGTGTGTGTGTGTGTGTGTGTGTGTGTGAAGCACAAAATTTTGCATTTTGCATTTTTTAATTTCAAAAGTATGAAATGTGCTGCATTACAATTTTGTGTTAAATGAATTTCAAATAAGTGAGGCCAAATGTGCTCTCTCTGACTCCTGGCCACAGACGGCTGTAGCACTGTAGCATTAACTCACTGATGTGAGGCCTTCTGCACTTCTGAGGCCCTAGGCTGGAGCTTACATAGGCTAAACAGTTAATCTGGCAATGGGATTGATGAGAAATGTTCTGTTCTAGGGAAACTTGCAGAGTTAGAATTGTTCACAGTGGTGGTGATAAGAAACACACACACACATTATCGTATCCACTTCTTGTCCTGGGTCGTGGGGGGGCGGGGGTGGGGGTGTTGGGCGGGGGGTGCTGGAACCTATCCCAGTGTTCATCGGGCAGAAATCAGGATGATAGGACCTCAAGTGGTCCTTGTTTTATGATAGTTTTAAGGATTTTGGAATTTATTTTTTTTTAATTCATTTACAGCAGAGACCCATATAGCAACATTCCCTTAAGAAAACTGCTAAATGTATGTAGGTTCACTGGTCATTTTGGAAAGTAAATAAAATGGCTATATTAGCATTGTATGGTCATCCAGATTCCTGGCTCCCATCACCACCACTTTAAATCTGTGGAATTTTCCTTGAAAACAGACTTCAAAAGCTCACTGCATATCTTGTCTGTCATTGCTGGGTCATCAGCATCTGCTGAGTCTGCTGCAATGTAGAAAACTTTTGTAGGTCCACTGGTCATTTTGGAAACAAATTGTACAGCATTGATTAGGGATGTTATAACAAATGAAACATTTACCTTAAACAGATAAAGACAAAGCAGATATGGTGTGCAAAGAGCTTAAGTGTGGAAAACATCACAAGATCCCCCAGTCCGGAACCTTCCACAGAGAAGATCAAATCTCATACAATGTACCTCTCCACTGCATTGGCAACGAAAAGTTCTCCTGGCAGTGTGTAAACTGGGTTGAAGCAAAATCAAGCAAGTGCAGCCAAGAGGCCAGCGTCATCTGCTCAAGTAAGATCACAGGGTGACCCTGGGTTTCTACCTATCCTACACTCATAACAGCTTTCATACCTCATAACCAACAAAGCTACACGTTCTCAACACATTTCACATTACAAGGTTCATGAACCTCTTTAATGCCCTTCTGCAGGCCCCCTAGTGGTCAGAATGGAAATCAACTCAGATATTTTTGATTAATATGTTTACACTGTTTGAGGCACAATACAAGGCAGCCAATCAGAACAGAACAAATTTACATACATCTGTCTTAAAGGCGCAGTAACAAAGGCAGTAAAGGCATTCATGCTAAATTAAATTATTCCTGCTTTGGTACATAAAATGTCACCAATATTATATGTAAAGGGTGGAAAAATGAATACAAGAAAAAAGTAGAATATGGGACCATTAAGCCATCTATTGAATTCCGCATTGTAGAAGACTATTCACTTGATCTGCTGGGCTATTGTTTTATATATTTATGTATGTATATATTTGTATATTGTGGGTTATAATTAAACTCTCATTAAACAGATTACAAAGTTATGCGACTGAGAGGTGACAATGGAGATGTTTGTAATGGGACCCTGCAGCAGAAGGACAGCATTGAGAATAGCAATTGGGTTCCTGTTCCATATCCTAAAGGAGGCTACAGCATAGCTGAAGCTGATGACATATGCTCTAAGCTGAACTGTGGTAAATCCAGCAGCGTGGAACAATGTAAGGGACCTGAGATTTGCCTCACATGTACAGGTAAGCCTGCATATACAGCCTTGACTCTCAATTCAGATTCTATAGAGGCCCAGTTCTGCACATTGTAGTGCTTTGCCTGCTCTAACAAGTCCATTTAAAGCTCAGAGTTGAAATACCTTCATATAGGGTTCTTCTTCTTAAAAAAAACAACCACTTTTTAACCTTAATTTTAATTTAACCTTAAAATGCTGACAGTTTTACTGAGATGACATTTGTCTAATTAAACAGAAGCAGTGCTGTGTTTACATACAACAAGGTTTCACAATGACTGGAGTATTTTATTTATAACTTGTTCAACTCCAATTGCACGAAGACTTCTAAAAACAACAAAATATTCTACTACTACTTCTGCTCCAGTGCAGATTTACACTAATGTTTGCATTAAAAAAATGTCATTCCACACCTCAAAGCGTTACACATGCCCAGCCAGGAGATACTAAATGCACGTGCACCCACTGGGCCATTATGGGAATAGTCAGAGCCGAGCTGAGGCAAAGAGATGACTATTCAGAAAGTTTTAGCAAGCTGTAGTTTGTGACTTAGGGCTGTGTTACAGAAACTTCTCAAGCCTGAAATCTTTTCTGTTTAGTCACCAGGACAACTTCAATTAAGACTGAATTTAGGAAAGAAGCTATTACAGAACAACAGTTCTTAAGTTCATAATCTTATCCTAACTCCAGATGAGAAAACAGTATGACAGAAACATCCTAACTAGAATAATATTTCCTTAATTCTGTCCTAACTTTAAAAAATCACCCTAAGTATCTTGACTCCTGTTTTAACCTTCCATGTCTATTGTTTTATGCAGTGACAGGCAGCACAGTTCATAGCTGAATGTATGTCTGTTTATTAGAAGGAATAACATTAACACACTCAGCTAAAGTGTTTGGGAAACTGAAACTGGGAGGCGAATAAATGTAGGATGTATTTTTAATCACCAATAGTGCAATACAAGGGCAAAGAACCCAGATCAGAATAAAATCTAAAATCATTTATACACAGTTTTGTATGTCCCGACCCAAACATTAACATTGGCCACAATGTCATTTTTGCTTTGTTTTTGTTCGTCTTAAAGAGTGAAAAAAGCTTAACATCAGTGCAATCTGTTAACTACAGTTGTGCATTTTGAATTCAGCTTGCTGATTTTTTTAAGACAGAACAGACAGTGAAACTTCACCCTGTGCTTTTCAGACCTTGTTAAAGTGGAGCTGGAGAACGGTTGTTATGGGAGTATCTATGTGGTCCTGAACGAGACCCGCCATTCTGTGTGCTCTGACGGAATGAGTGAGGAGGCGCAGCAGAGGATGGGGGAGGTGGTGTGCCAGCAGCTGAACTGTGGGAAACTGCTCACCGTCTCTCAGGGGTCTAAAGTGCAGAACGGGCTGCTGAGGCAGGTGGACTGCAGTGGACAGGAGGACTCACTGTGGGACTGTTTAGCCAGATATGGGCCCAGTCAGTCCTGCCAGAGCACTGCCAGAGTCTCATGTGCAGGTAACCCATATCTTAGTCCTGGTTAGTTGGGATATTGCACAGATCAGCAGTTTTCTGAGCTAGCCAAAAGTAGAGATGGTTGAATGATATGGACAACGTACCACATTGCAATTCTTTTGCTACATACGGCATTTGCAATCTGCCCTGTGATGTACAATAGTGCCGTATCCTTGGTGTGGTTTAAGATTGGCCTGCTTTACTTGGTTGGATCACACATACACCTTGTTTTTACAGCACTTGGCAGAAGCTCTTATCCAGAGCGACTTACAATTTGATCATTTTTGCACAGGTAGGGGAAGGTAGTGTTAGGAGTCTTGCCCAAGGACTCTGATTGGTACAGTGTAGGGTGCTTGCCCAGGCTGGGGATTGAACCCCAGTCTACAGCGTAGAAGGCAAAGGTCTTACCATACCAACCACCAAAATGACAGTCAGGGTGGCATGGAGACCTTCTTTTTTCAGAAAATCAACCCCACAAAATACTTCTCTCAAACACATCTGTGATTGGTCACCATGCTCACATTACAATAAATAATTTTGTGATTACTCAGAGGGCTTATTTATGGAAGTCCATTCCCGCCAATTAGAGGAGCGATTGCTAAATGTCAAAGCAAGGATTTATGTTCTCAAAACAATGATTCATTTTTTTCAAAAGTTTAACTTGTCAAAATAACTTATTTTTCCAACTTTTGTCTTAACTATGTCATAGTAAGCCATTGACTGATTATCACAAAATGATTGACTATTCAGGCTACTTATGATTTAAAAATATTACTTTGATGTAGTGTGTCTGTGCATAATTTGTCTTCATAACAAAAAGTCAATAATTAGATAAAATATGTAATTATTTCAAAATATTAAGTTTGAAAAAAGTCACATGTATATATATATATATGACTTTTTTTAACAGAGTTAGTACTAACAACATCACATCAGACAGTGTAATTGAGATATTTCAGTGTAGATTTGTCACACAATTGGGGTGGATTCATAATTTTATCCCTTCCAGGTGTCCATTTCAGCATTTTCTATTGGCTTTACATATTTGTATGTTTCAGTCCTCCTCAAAACCATTATTAAAAGGACTAATATTTGCAATAACAAATAAAAAACATGCATATACTAAAACCAGCCAATAGGAATCTCCCTATATCTCTTTTCTGCAATTGGACAGTCTTGCAAAAGGCATTTTTTCAGTTAGGTGGATACCTCAAATCAAACACAGATAAAAGAAAAAAATGGGGCTGCATAATTGACACTGTCAAAAATGCACTGTTTTCTTAATCTGTACTCCTGTCATTGGCAGCGTTTGAGAGCGTGACTCTGCAGGATGGTTTGGGCAAATGCTCAGGACGACTGCAGGTGAAGTTTGAGGGTTCGGAGTGGAGTGTGAATGCTACGGAATGGACAAAGAAAAACTCAGATGTGGTGTGTGAACAGCTCAAGTGTGGAAAGTCGCATAAAACTCAAGAAAATCTTTTTGTCGGAGGCATTCACAATCAACTAGAGTGGAATCTGAACTGCAGTGATGGCGTCTCCAAACTGTCACAGTGCACCTGGACTCAGAGGAAGGATTCTAGAAAAATGAACGTCAATATCATCTGTGAAAGTATGTGTTCTTTTAAAAACAGCATCTTGTTGCTCGTCTAAGTAACTCCCTATATTCTTTGCCTGCTAAAGATCCCTGTAACACATTTAAAAGTTCATTAGAGACATTAATGTCTGTGTGTTTTGATCCCTTCTCCCCCAACAGAAGAGAAGCTCTGGTTCCTGCAAGGTGCCTCGTCGTGTGAGGGGGAAGTGAAAGTGGAATCTGCTGGAAAAAGTCAGTTTATAAAAGCGAACGAAATGACCACAGACGTCTGCGAGTGGCTGCACTGTGGGACTGTTAACTGCTCTGCTACTTCAGCGTCACACGCCAGCTGCTCCAGAGGGAATGCAGCCACACAGAACACCACCACCATTGCCCATGTGAGCTGCTTAGGTAAGCTGTCAGGTATTATGGTGCTAAAGCCTAAAAATTAGGCTTATTTTTGGACAAAATGTTAAAAATAATTATTTTTTCTCAAAATTTTGGCATATTATGTCAAAATACTTACTTAATTTCTCAAAAATGTCAAAGTAAAGACTTATTATACCAAAACAATTGCTTATTTTTAGTATTGTTTTAACATGTATATTTTGTCCTAAACTCACAATAAATCATTGTATTGAAAAGTCAATATTTAGAAAAAAATTAGTACTTAATCCAAACTAAAAAAGGTTCAAACTAAAAAATAAGGAGAAAGTTCAGAGAAAGAAGACATTATTCAGAAATTTTAAGTCATTTTAAGAAAATCATTCGCATGGTGGCGCAGTGGGTGGCACTGTTGCCTCACAGCAAGAAAGGCCTACTTTCGATTTACGTTTCCTCCCACAGTCCAAAGACATGTAGTCAGGCTAATTTAACATGCCAAATTGCCCCTAGGTGTGAGTGTGTGTGAATGTACACTGATCAGGCATGACATTATGACCACCTCTTTGTTTCTACGCTCATTGTCCATTTTATCAGCTCCACTTACTATATAGGTGCACTTTGTAGTTCTACAATTACAGACTGTAGTCCATCTGTTTCTCTGCATACTTAGTTGGCCCCCTTTTACCCTGTTCTTCAGTGGTCAGGACCCCCATGGACCCTCACAGAGCAGGTACTATTTGGGTGGTGGATCATTCTCAGCACTGCAGTAACACTGATGTGGTGGTGGTGTGTTAGTGTGTGTTGCGCTGGTCTGAGTGGGTCAGACACAGCAGTGCTGCTGGAGTTTTTAAACACCTCAGTGTCACTGCTGGACTGAGACTAGTCCACCAACCAAAAACATCCAGCCAACAGCGTCCTGTGACCACTGATGAAGGACTAGAGGATGACCATCACAAACTGTGCAGCAGCAGATGAGCTATCGTCTCTGACTTTACATCTACAAGGTGGACTGACAAGGTAGGAGTGTCTAATAGAATGGACAGTGAGTGGACACAGTGTTTAAAAACTCCAGCAGCTCTGCTGTGTCTGATCCACTCAAACCAGCACAACACACACTAACACACCACCACTACATCAGTGTTACTACAGCGCTGAGAATGATCCACCACCCAAATAGTACCTGCTCTGTGAGGGTCCATGGGGGTCCTGACCACTGAAGAACAGAGTAAAAGGGGGCTAACAAAGTATGCAGAGAAACAGATGGACTACAGTCTGTAACTGTAGAACTACAAAGTGCACCTATATAGTAAGTGGAGCTGATAAAATGGACAATGAGTGTAGAAACAAGGAGGTTATGCCTGATCAGTGTATACGTCTGCCTTACGATGGACTAGGGACCTGTCCAGGGTGTTTTCTGCCTTCTGCCAGTGGACGCTCGGATACACTCCAGCACACTCCATGACCCAGAAAGATAAGCGGCTTAGAAGATAGATGGATTTTGAGAAAATTGTTCAGAGATACTGTTTTATTAGATACTGCCAGAAACAGAACAACAAATATATATATATATATTTAAAGATATTGATGAGATGGCATGATACCAATTTTGATTGGCCAGTATTGACACTGTGTAGAAAGTATTGGCTGGCACTGACCAATATTTTTCTTAAAAGCTACTAAGTTCTAAAATGAACTATTTTTAATTGACTTTCCTTAAGATGAGAATCTAAAAGTTGTCTATCATACTCAAACTACTCAAACACTCTACTGACCTCATAGGAAGAACAACACAGCCAGCGGCATCACATCACGTCACACAACACACATTTCTAGCTAACAACAAAAAGAAAGGTTTTGTGGAGTTTTGAACATTGTAAGTCATAATATCAGTGTTATTATTCTGTACATTCATTTAAATATTTCATAAAACATTTACTGCAGCCTGTGGGGGTTACCAGCATCAGTTACCAGCATCAGTCAGGTAAAAAGTCAACAATTGCCTATTACAATGTCGTTTTGATCTGTTTGGACAAGCAGCATGGCAAACTTTGTAAATCTTGTTGTAGGAGTATATTCGGAGAAAAAGCCTTGCAAAGGATTTCAGATTGGCAGATTTAACTGTTGCTGTACTTAAAACAGCCTCTTCTCCCTGTGCCAAATTCCCTGTTTGGCAAATCCTCCTCCTGTGTATGGAAAGCAGGTTCAGCTTGGAACCCAAATAACTGCAGAGTAATTTGACATGTTGAGATTCTAACCAGTTTACAAAGGAATTAAATTCACACGTGAGAAAGAGATTTATACTAGCTGAATTTGTGTTATCAAGAAAATAGGAAATAAAGGCTAAAATGTTTTGCCATAGTAATTAGAATTTCAGCATTAAAATTTGTATTATAATAAAAAATACCACATTACCAAATACCACTTTAATTTATATTTATACAAGTAAAATTATTACTGCAACTATAAGAGTTGGAAAAAGGCTTGAATTTTTACCAATGACAAATCTTACTTGATAAAATATAATTTCAACAATGAAATCTGAATTTTAAGATGTTATAAATCTACTTTTTCTATGTCATTTTTTTCTAAAATAAACAATATTTTCTGAAAATGATACTCTGCTTCTAGCTGAAAAGATAAAAGCATCTATTTGCTATTATTTGCAGCATTTCTTCCTTTACAATTCGTAGATCTGTTTCTGAGAATTATGGATTTCTTTGTTTCTTTGTTTTAATTGTGTTTGATCGAACCAGAGCGTCACTTGGCAAGTCTTTAATATGTTTATCTTTAATATTTAATATGACCTCATTTACATGTTGGTTTTTATTGGCTCTTTCCCAGGACACAGGTGAGAATACCAAGACACAGGCAGCTAATCATCGCTAATCAATGCATGATGTGGTGCTGTTACTGCCAAGCTTCATGAATCTGGCCCAGTGTATTTAATCATTGTGTTTGTGGTGCCCTGTTTTCAGGTTCTGTGGAGGTGAAGTTGGAGAACCAGAATAATGAGAAGTGCTGGGGGAAGGTGAAGGTGTGCATGAATGGCAGGTGTGACGGAGTGTGCAACGACACCTGGACAGAAAATCTGTCCGACATGCTGTGTGAAAACCAGGGCTGTGGTGAAGCGTTCAGCAAGGAGTACCTCGGAAGCACTGAACAGGGACTGACCATTGGCAGCGTCCACTGTTCTCAGGAGACACGTAAACTCAGCCAGTGCTACTTTGCTCTCATGAGTAACCAGTCCACCTGCCAAACTCCAGTCCATGTTTCCTGCACAGGTGCGGAACATATTACCTTTGTTGAAATGAGGACCGTATTAGTACAGTAGCTGCACTGAAATGGATGCACTACAGTTCAAAATCACTGGAATCACTGTTTTCAATACCAAATCAATTTGGTCACAGATAAAATGTTTAAAATGAGTCTAACATGCTAGCAGTGTGTAATATTACAGGTTGCAGAATATTAGCAGGAATCTACCATACGTAAACAAAATTATCAGTTTTAGAACTAGAAATATTAGTATGGATCAGAGCTGCAGATCATTCTAATGTCAGATAAAGCTGAATGACATCCACGATGAAGTTATGATAAAATGAACACCCAGAATGCCTCATATTTCAGAAGTGGTGATCAGGTGACTTGACAAAAATAATTGTAAATGGACAATTACTGTACATTTTATCATTATGAAATGCCTCTAGCACATACTTGGGGCCCTGTGGTTGTCTTTCCATTTACAGCAGTGCTGGCAGCGTCATAACTGTTAGTGTTTTAGAGTAGAAGTTACACTTTATGTATTTTTATGTTTTTTATGTAATTTTTTATAACATACTAAAACAGCCAAAAAACACAGAGCTCATTTTAGTCAAGGAAAACTCAAAAATGATAATAAAAAAATCTCCCTGACAATTTTTTTCCCAATACTGAGATGAGACAGACAGATAACATATGAAAACGAAACACTGGCTAACAGGTAGCATGTGCCTGCTAGAAAAACAAGCAGCATATCAGCACTAGACCAACATAAACCAACATAAACCAGCTTAGACCAGCATGGAATCCATGCTGGTGTGTGCTGTGTTTCAGCAGGGGTTAGACCACTTTCACATGCCCAAAGAGTGATATATGGTAATTCAAGCTAGTTAAGAAATTAACTAAGAAAACATTGCTAGCATTTGTGTTGGCCACTACAGAATGACTGTTTTTGCTCATATGTTCACTCTTGAGAGAGAAAGATTGAAGATTTGTTTGATTCTAGACATGATTCTGTGTAAATGTAGGCATTGTGTGAATGACTGTGCAGAACAGTGCAGTATATAGTTTCGTATCAGCCAATATGGTAAGCTAACTAGCAAGCAATGTAGCTAATTAGCCAAGTTAGACACTCTGGAGGGACGTAAAATGACCAAATCACCATTAAATCATTAATCGTGGTTATTACAAAGGTTCCAGTTGTCTCTTGAGGAGGTGGAATGTGGTCTACAACTAGAACCTCAGTTCAGATGATTTGTGTGTGGGTTTGTTTAATATAAAAAAAACCCTTACGAAGTGAATGCTTCTTTTTAAACCCTGCAATGAAATGTGTGGCTGGTGCAAGTTTATGATTATACGACAAAAATTAGCCACACAAATCATGAAATGATTGACTTTAGAAGATCAGTTTGAAAAAAGCTTTCACCCATTTATGCCAAAGTTAAAAACATTGTGTCACTTTGGACTGTTTTTCAGTGAATTCTGACTGTTTTTGGTACATAAACCCACACAAATGTTAAAAGAAGACCTTAGGAAGGAAATTATAATACAAAAATGTGTAGTTGTGGGCTTTAATCTGTGTTAGACCACATGTTTAGGCTTCTGATTTTCAATGTGAATTCTTTCATGTTTTCTTCCACAGGGAGTGTGAAAGCCAAGCTTAACGACCCCAGAGATAAATGTGCTGGAAGACTTGAGCTGTTTTACCTTGGAAAGTGGCAACCAGTGTGTGCAGAAGGTGTCAGTCAGGAAACTCAGACCACCATCTGCAGAAGCTTGGGCTGTGGAGACGCTGTCTACTTCACCAAATATGAAGCCTCTAAAGCTAAGGGACTCTCAGGCATCACCTGTGCAACAAACCTTTCCACATGTGATTTCAGCAAAACTAAGATCCAGGAATGTTTTACTGGCCATCTCAACTGTTCAGGTATTCTTTTGATATTTGTCTGATCTTGTAAACAATAGCATTGAAGCTGATTTTGGAGCAAATCATTCTTTTGAGTCAAGCTCAGGTGAAGACCTGCTGTATTGTACCATTCAGCTCAGTAACACTGGAGTCACATCAGTCAGTTTTGTTAATACAGCTGTAATAATTCTCCAGCAGAATTGTAGTCATAGTCTGTCACCTTGTATCTAATATTGGTTCTTTTTCCCAGGCTGGAGAAGGCTGCTCCTCACCGACCCTGACAATGCATGTGCAGGTAAGGTCTATGCCCGGGATCAAAGCGGCCTGATTAAAGTAAGCAGAGAAGGTTGGGGGCCAGACAAAGGAGATGAGCTGTGTAAATATCTGAAGTGCGGGAGGTTCAGTAATTACAGTGAAAATAACCAGCTGAATGAGGAACGTAATAGAACCTACAACTGCCGCGGGACACCGAAGAACATCTTGGACTGTGAGGTTGACAATAAGCCTGCACAGCTCAAGCATCTCAGCGTCAAATGTGATGGTAAGAACAGTCTTCACTCCATCTGCTTCTACAAAAATGGCAGTGTAGATAGTAAATAGTAGTGAGCGTAATAGCCATTCTGTATAACCTGAAAGTTCCAAGTGATTCCTGGGTTGGACTTGGTTCTAGGGAAAACCTCTGACTACTATAGAACCGTTACACAATGTGGATGTTATTTGACTTTTGAAAAGGAAGTTCAAGGTTGGGGCGCGGGGTGCTGCAGCTTGCGAAGATGATTTTATTATATATTTGCTATATATCTCTATTTATGGCTTTTCTTGACTTTACATATACTCAAATATTAACAAAGCAGTTGCCCTTGAATATAATAAACATACATATTTTTAACATATATTCAACTCTAGCTCTGTTGTTACTTTGCCAAGTGTTTTAGTGATCTGAAGCCAAATGAAGCAGGATATATATATATTTTTTTGTGCACCAAGCATGACGTGAAATATATTTAAACATATAAATAGATGCAAACATTATCATATGCAGGTTTAGTGGTGAGACATAGAGCTCTGCTAATGGTTTTTGTTCAAAAATGTACATGAGAATGCTGGCCCAGTGCAAAATGTACCTCAATGCAGCCGCTTGCGGAATATTTGGCCACAATGCACCTGAGTCTCAATGGCAATCCATGACTATTTGAACCCTTGGCCCAGTCAGTAATCATTCACTGCTTACATAGACAATGAGGCAGTATGTTTGGTGTGTTTGTTCTCAGGAAACCCTGAAGTAAATCTTCTGGGGAACTGTACGGGCGAGGTGAGGATCAACCAGAAGGAACGTATGTGTGGGATTTCACAGAACACAGATCGTGTCCTCAGTGAGTTGTGTCATCACCTGAACTGCAGACATCTCATCACCTCCTGGTCCACTAAAGCCAAGGGAGAGGCGCAATACTTCAGCTGCTTGGGCCATGAGAACAGACTGTGGCAGTGCAATTCCTGGAAAGACAGCTGTGGCAGCGTCATCTCGGTAGCCTGCGCAAGTGAGTCAGTACCTTTTAATACAGTGACATTCAGTGAAAATTCTACTGTGAAGAACAATGTAACTACATGCTGGAAATCTGACCAGTCTAATCCCTTCAACTCAAGGATCCATCAGTAGGTCCCCCAAAAATTATGCACTTTCTTATAAGGAGGCGACAGCATTTTTTTGTTCAACTCAACTTCTTTGTTGAGTTTTGCTTCAATTGTTTAATTGGCCTATCCTAAAATGCAGTACTCAAAATTCACTTCAACTCGAAAGTACATTGAGAGTGAGCTATATATGATTGAAAAACTGAACAAAGAAAGAAAAACTCAAATAGGAGAGAGAGAGAGAGAGAGAGAGAGAGAGAGAGAGAGAAAACTAAAATAAAATATGTAATAAAACCAAATAAATATGAACAAAACAGGCTGTAAAAAACGTTGTTTGTTGCTTTTTCTTTCGATCTTTCATTCAAAATATTAACAAAAATCTAGCCTTCATTTGAAGTACAATAATGAAAACAAATCTTTATCTTACCAAGAAATAAATATTTTTCTCAAATCTATGTGTGCCACAATTGTTGGCACCCCTTCATTTAATCCTTTGTGCAGCCTCCCTTTGCAAAGAAACAGCTCTGAGTTTTCTCCATTGATGCTTAATGAGACTAGAGAACACATGACAAAGGATCTGAGACCGTTCCTCCATACAGAACCTCTCCTGATCCCAACTATGGCCTAGTTTAGACTCCCTGGCTGAGACAGTCAGATTTTAATCTTATTTCTGCTGGTACTTAAGTCTGTGATACCCTGTATCTGACAAACATTGTCCAGGGCTTTTGGAAGAAAAACAGCCCCACAGTATCACAGCTCCACCACCATACTTCACAGTGGGGATGAGGTACTTTACTGCATGGCTATCTTTGTGTCCATGTCAAACTCACCTCTGGTGTTTGTTACCAAAAACCTCTATTTTGGTCACATCTGATCACAGAACACAGTCCCACTGAGAGGTCCAGTAACATTTGGAAACTGTAGGAGCTTGAGTTTGTTGGTCCTTGACAGCAGAGGCTTTCTTCCGGCAACCCCTCCAAACAGCTTGTGGTTACACAGGTGGTGTTTCATTGTGGTCTGGGAAACATTCTGACCCCAAAACTTAGACTCTTTATCCACTTAAGCCATCCTGCTCACAATGTGTGTGGTTATTATAGACAAATGTCCTCTTCCTGGCTGATTCTTACTGTCTCCTGTTGTTTCAAACCTCTTCATTACTGTCGTGATAGTGGAAATGGGCATTCTCCTTATCTGTGCAGCTTAACAACCTTTTGTCTGCAACTAGACAGAACTAGTCAGAACACAGATCATGTCCTCAGGGAAAATGTAGTTGATCCTGTCGCTTGTGGTTAAAATAAACAAACGAGGCTTTACTGGTTTCGACATGTTCCAAAGTCATGGCCAAAAAACAGGCAAAGTTCAAATCCAAAACAAGCCAAATCCAACAAAAATGAGCATAACATCATCTGGTCCAGGCAAACAATGTCCAAATAGGTAAAGGCAAAAAATACAAAAGATAAGTCAGATTCACTAGAAATCAACCAAAACATTCAGTAGCTCTATGAAAGAAGCAATACCTCACCCTAAACTAAGCAAAAGCCTGGGCTTATACACTAGCTAAAGAAATCACATGATGAAAGAAACAGCTGAGGCAAATCAGTAGTCAGGTGAGGCAGATCTCTGATAGGTGGAATGCTGTGATATCATGGTCATGTGTTCTCCCAGACGGTTCTGGCAACTGGAGTTCACACATGGCCAGAGCAATCTGTGATATTGTCGTACATCGTTGCTGTATCCTCTGGTCTTTCTCATGGTGATGGATGACTGAGGGAATTTGGCCTGTTTTACATCTCATATATTTTCCACAGTGAATCAGTTGGTCATGGCTGACCCTTTAAGTTTTCCTAATCGCTCAGGTGAACTTTAAACATAAAATGTGAATGGAAATTTACGTCATTTACATTTCACTTTTGAGAATCAAGAAAAATATTTATTTCTTGACATGATTAACTTTTTTTAACCATTAACCTTAAATATAGGATAGAGTTTTGCAAATATTTTTAATAAAAGATCAAAGGATAAGAATAATGAAGAATATTTTTTACAGCTCATTTTGCTCATGATTACTAGGGGTGCCAATATTTGTGGAGAGCACTGTACAAATCTGCACCAACAAATGAAGTTATGAAATAAAATAATATGATTAAATAGAACAATAAAAGGTGACAATAGTTTAGAGTTTGCAGCAGTATAATTACATCTTTTACAGCAGTAACCAGGGCTCAGTTTGAGGGGATGCCGTTCCCCCTTTTCCATCTCTTTGGATCCCTTAACCTCTCATTTGTCAATGTTTTTTTCTAACCACATGTGAGATTCACTCATTACAGGTGTTCTTCATGTGAAACAAACAAATTATATATAAATATGTTTGAATGTGTTTGAACTGAATATGTGTGCAAAGAATATTTTTGGTACAGCATGTGCTCCCGCCATCAGGGTTGCAACGTTTTTGTCTCCTGCCAATTTGGGCTATTTTGAAAATGTAGTTGTTCCTGTCGTTTTACAGACAGCATTGAATTCAACTTCACTGGGAAATGTGGAGGTGAGCTTCAAGTGCGCTACCGCGGAAACTGGGAACCAGTGTGTCTCAGCAGCATTGAAGATGCTAATGTGATATGCAGAAACCAGAATTGTGGAAATGCCAGAAGATATGAGAATTCAGACTCAAGAGAACGAGTACAGACGTCATTTAAATGTGAAAAAGGAGAGACTGATCCAAAGTCCTGCGTCAAATATGAATCCTGCCAGGAAGGAAAAGCTACAATCTACTGTGAAAGTAAGTGCAAATATCAGAGAAAAGCTGTGGTTCTCTGACAATGCGGACTTTGTATTAAACTATTAATGTCCAGGAGCGACATTACAGAAACTCTGAAGTCTCTGAAATCTGTTTAGTCATCAGGACAACTTCAATTAGGACTGAATTTAGGATAACAGTTACATAATCCTAAATCCAGATAAGAAAAGAGTATTACAGAAGTTTCCTAACTAGACAAAGTTTTCTAAATAACATTCTAACTGTAAAACAAACCCTGTGATGTCCTAACCTCTGTTTTAAGCTTCAGTCTCTACAATTATCCATTTTATAGAAAATACAGTGGTATCGTTTTTAGGCAACTGTGATGGGCAACATAAAAACTCACTATGACTGGCCTAATTTTATTCCATTCATTCATATGGCAAAATGGTGATAGTGCTGTTGATTTTTTTTGCTTTTCTAACTCTGCACTTCGAAAAGTCCCGTAGACGGGGGCACTGTCAATATTTATTGACATTTTTTTTTACTTTTATTGTGCTTCAGTTGAGTTTTTCCAGTTGACATTAATTGAATTGTGGCTTTCTAGCTAACATTCCACATATAATTTTAACCATATTTTCATTAAGCTTCAGGTGCATGAGTATTGCTGGTTCCTTGGCAAAAGACAATTAATTATCAAACTTGATTGAGTAGTTTATGATCTCCTAGCTTATGATAAACAAAGAGGTAGCATTATTTTGAGTGGTCCTTTGCATATGATTAATAATAATATGAGTAACACATCAACCACATATCAGTGAAGTAGCTGTACATTGAGATAAATATCTTGAAGATGTAGTGTTGATACATAGCTTTCATTAAGTAGTTAAGTATAAAGTATTAAGTATATTTATATAAAATCACTACTTTTTTGTGTTAATATTACCTGTATTTATTCATTCTAATATTATTAGTTAAATAAGCAAGTAAACACGTACTGCCCAAATGAACAGCTTTTCAATGAAAAGTTGTCAGGTACTATAAAATGTAATATTATATATTATTATATATTTATTATAACTTAACATCAACATAACATGAATTATTACATTTTATAATTATATCACTATATTTATTACATATGTTTTCATTTTATTCATTGTATTTTATTATCATTTATTTATTTATTAAAGGACCTTTGAAAATAGTTACACTATATATTAGTAGTAAGATGTATAGTAGTAGATGATTAATAAACTCTTAATAGAGTATCAGTAACGCATCAACAACATACTAGTGAAGTAGCAGTGTGTTGAGGCAAATATCTTGAAGATGTAGTGTTGATATATTATTTACATTAAGGAGCATTGTTGATAATTTACATGAAATAGTCTAAATGTGTTACTTCCATTATGCAAAACCTAACCTTCCCCAACCTTACCCAAAAAATAATCCTAACCCTAACCTTAACCTCAAAACAAAACCTAATCCTAACCCTCACTCTGGCTCTAATCCTAATCCTAACCTTAACCTCAAAACAAAACCTAATCCTAACCCTCACTCTGGCTCTAATCCTAATCCTAACCTTAACCCCAACACAAATCCTAATCCTAACCCTCACCCTGGCCCTAATCCTAACTCTACCCTTAACCTAAACCTAGTCCACTTAAGCTCCAGGTACAGAACGGTGTCAACAGTGTGTCTATAACAGCTTGTTGAGGATGTTGAGATGGTCAGTATTAAACCTGTTATATGTTCCATGATGTCTCAGGTTAAACATCTACAAATATGAACTTTGATTCCCTCAAACAGTGAAAAACAACTAAATTCAGCAGATTACAAACAAATTTTATTTATGCAGTTAATTAAAAGTCTATTTAAAAAAATCTACTGAATGTTTTCACTGCTGCTACATCAATGATACATTGTTGTTATGTTACAGAGAGTCTGTTGAGAGTTTATGTCATCTAAAAAGGACCACTGTTCAGATTTAAACTCAAATTAGGACGTTTCCAAACTGAACAAATCACGTGGCTAAAAAGGGAGATTCTATGACTTTATTTATCATCTTTAATCTTTTGGTTCTACATGGCTACTCATTTCTTACCGAACAATAGAAAATTAAAATCCGATTGTAAATCAGTGTAAAATGACATCTAACAAAATCAAGCCTGGTTATATGTTCACCCAGATATAAAGGTAAATACAAAAGGGTAAAGTTTGTTTCAAATTGGGTAAAAATTCATGAACATAAATTGGTGAAGTTGCTTTTGGGTATGAAAATTTTCTGTATGTATTCAACCCCAGAATACGTCCCTGTGGTGGAAGTTGTTCCACCAAACACTGGCCTTATTGCGGGTCTCGTGGTTGGTCTCCTGTTCCTGCTGGTGGCCATAGTCATTGTGATCTGGCAGAGAAAACGCTTCCTCGCCATCTGTGAGTAGCTCTACTGGCACACTTAACAACACCCATGCAGCATAATATGCAACTTAATATACAGAAAAGAACCGAACTCAAGTGGCAAAAGTTAAATGGCTGTTGACCGATATATTTCGCCTGAAACTGTAAACAATGTTGTAATGTTTTTTTTTTTGTATCACAAGATGGCCTTTTAATACCACGTACCATACAAGTACCATACAAGTAAGGTATTATATACTGAAATGAAAATTTCTTAAGATTTAGAAGACATTTCAAAAGCCTGACTTCACTTAAAACCTGTTATGGCTTGGTATAAAGTCTGTAAAGTGTTTTAGCATTAGTGTGTATAATGATGTACAATGTAATGCATTATGGAACCTTTATGAAGTCATGTACTCTTATTTTATATAGTGTTATGCATGTAACTACTTAAAAGCAATGAAACCATGAAAGGCCTTAAAAAGGCATTTACATAATGCATTATGAATACAGGAAGTGTTATCAAAAATTTAAATGGAAAAAATAATTTAATTGTGAATAAAAGTAGGAAAATTGCATGTAATCTAAATAAATAAATAAATAAAATTGACACTGTTTGTTATTTAAGCTATAATTATACAAAATCTCATCCCTGTAAACCTATCAAAACAAGTTCTGTTGCAGTTCTTCTTAATGGGTTCATTGAATGTTTTACATTAACAGGTTCATTAAAGGAACCTTTTAACTTCTTTCTCCCAGAATGTATCCTGTATCATAACATTTGCTGGTACAAAACTGTTCAACCACTAGGTGGAAACCTTGGTTTTCTTTCTTTCACCCATTACTGTTTGCTATGACAGAAAATCAACAACACATCATTTGAGTGGGGAATATTCAAACCTTTGCAAACATCTTTATAAGGATGGTCTGCTTGAATTAAAGCAGTTGTTAGAATTTGTTTTTTTTTTCTTTTCACACAGCAATTTGATAACTTCAATAAATGAAATGATTGCAGTTTGACATATTACACCAAAAAACACTTTCTTTCTTTCTTTGCAGTAAGATTAAAGCCTTCTGCTGGAGACAAGGATATAGAGCTCAACAATAAGGAAATGCAGGATTTAAAAGAAAACAACAGAGGTAAAGACTGTGATTCTAAAGAACTCTAATAGAAGGGAGCCCAATCCAGGTCTTGGAGATCTACCACCCTGCAGAGTTCAGCTCCAACCCTAATCTTACATACCCGGTCCAGTAATGTAGACCTTTAGGGGCATCTTAATATTAGAGCCAGCTGTGCTGGATCTGAACTGCCTAGGCTGGTCAATGTCCAGGACCAGGTCTGGGCACTCCTGCTCTAAAAGGGCAGTAAAGTTCTGAATAGATTTTGAGTAATGCTTTTTTGTTGTTTAATGATACTTGCGCTGTTTTATAAGTTCATTCCTGGCCAACACAGTAAATTCCATTCTCACAAATTCAACAGATTTTAAAAATTATACATATATTTAAACCATTAAGATGTAAACAAAGTTATCCAGAGTGGTTTGCTGTAAAATGTTCCACTCTAGAGAAGCTTAACAAGTCAGCTAATTCTCAACGGTGGTGACAAGAACCAGACGTCTGGCCTCTAAAAGCTAACATTAACTTTCAGAAAGTTATTACGTGAAATTATTATGAATACACTGCCTGATGTCTGAGAGATTGTTGTCAAGGGTGTTGTGAGAATTTTTTGGCATAAATTGTACTTTTAAAAAATATACATGGCAATGATGAGCAAAATAGTCTCCAGCAAAAACATTACTTATAATGTTTACTTATAATGTTATCCACATTACTTATAAAAACTCAGAAGACATGAGTAGGTTCACTGGTCATATTAGATAGGAAATAAATGGCTTTGTGTTGTAAACATTGCGACCTCTGGTTCTTATCGCCGCTACTGTAAAGAAAAGTTGGTAAGTTCCTCTGCAATGAACCATTTCACATCAATCCACTCTGAATTATTGTTTACATCTCAAGGTTTGAATTATGCAGCATTTTTGAAAAATAGGTGGAATTCCTGTGTAATGCAGTGAATTCAAGCATGAAAATTCATTTATTTTTTAGTGTGTCTCAGTTTTTTATTTATGCCATTAACAAATAAGCTTTCCCAAAGTCTGCAATGCATTGTTCTTTTCAAATTTAGATTTGTATGACAGAAAGTCATCTGTGTTTGAAATGGATGACTATGAGGATGTTGATCCCGTCATGAATCCAGTGGAGGACGAATCCAAAAGCCAAGGTATTATTTAGAACTCAGTTTCCACTATGGCTGCAAGCATTTCTCCATGCGCCTGTGCATTTCTAGAAGCACTAAACAGTAACTGTTTTACATGCTGTGCATTGTTGTTCACTTTTGGTGAGATAGAGCTGCAGCACGCTGAAGGTGAAGATGAGGAAAAGAGCTCAAGCGGAGGCTCTTCTAGGACTCAATATGATGATGTTGAGGAAAGTACTGATGGACCACAAGAGCCAGAAAACAGCAGCCCTGCTGAGCCACTCCTGCCCCCCAGACCTGCTAACTTACTTGGTATTGGAAAATTTCTGTCATCACTAAAGTTTTGCTTCTTTGAAACCAACTTTATAGAAAAAGGAAAAATTATTGGTTCATTCATCATGAAATGTTCACATAATGTACACTCTTAGAAACAATGCCCAGTTCAAAGAGAACCCAAATGCAGAAATAA